TTTCACTGCTCTGCGCATGACAGTAACACTTGCTGTAACCTGTCGTCTATAGTTTTCAGCAGCATATTGCTAAAATTTGGCATTATTCTTTAATTGTTAGCGTTTTAACATTTAGTTCTGTACATCAATGCAATAAGATGCTATTATTTTTTTATTTAGTGTTCTGTCTGACGACAGGTCCATATGAACAAGATCCTTCCATCCTTTTCTCGGACTGGGACCTGTTCATATACGTTCTTGGCAGATGATCCAGAAGTGGTTTGCCATTGCCTTCTTCTGTGTGTGAAGGGGATGCCACGGAGAAACCGGGGAAGCCCCCGGAGGAAAACTCCGTGTTGCCTAGACCACGGCATTGCCCAACACAAGTTATAAATTCGGGCACCGCCGGGAATCGAACCCGAGACCCCCCAGGATTACAAGGCCAGCGTTATAACCGTCAGACCACCGTGGCTCTTAAGATGCTATTAAAGAAACTGATTCCAGAACTTCATGTCTCATCGTTCTCTGAGACTGACAGAAGCAAACAACGTCTACGCTGAAATGTAATATGTGTACTGGAACCAACATTTTTAGTCCAATTTTACCGAAACTAGGGGCATTTGCTCATCAGGGCGCGTTTTGTTCTATTCTCATTAAGCCTGAAATTAGATTCACAGTGGACGGAGATAATATTGTTTCCAATTGGATATCCTGCTTACTATTTAGTTCAGTGTAATGGTTATCTGATACGATGCCTGCCTACTACAGCCAGCGTATAAAAAAGTGAACATACCAAGATAAATGTAAATATAAACACGAAACTTATACCACGCCCAGATATAAAAAATACATAATTTTAAAAAATTTCAACGTAGAAATTCTATACTTAACGATCCCTGTATTTATGTCTGGTAAGTTTTGATGTTAGATTCTTTGTAATATCGTCATGGCATTTTCCTTGTATCTCTAAAAATTCTGAAAATAAGTAAGTTTTTCCGCTTATCGTAGTTATATACATTTTAATTACCTCGTGGTTTGTACATTCCTACCACTGATTGGTTTGAAGCAAGAGGCGTGTATATTAATCGCGATTTACAATGTTATCTCGTGTTCGGCGAGATTAATGATCGACTTTCGACTCATCTGCGATGTTAGATCATCCGAAAGAACAGGACTTCGACTTGACAAAAAAAAATATCAAAGCTGAAACCTGAGAATATGACCGAATTTAAAGTACATAAAACAATTCACTACTGGCTTAAGATAAAGAATTTAATTATTCATTCGACCATTTATAATGTCCGGTCTCCTGATATTGTCCATACACTGAAATTTTCGCCAGAATAATTTCCACTAACCAATTCATCGTGAATTTCGAAATTTTATCTTCTGACATAAATTATACAAAGTCGTGGTAACCAGATAATTTTGGAAGTAAAAGGATTATTATATATTTTTAATCACCAATTTTATAAACATAATAATGTACAAAACAATACTTTAAAATATTTGTTCATATTTTCATATAATTCAACAGTAAATTCTAAAGCATATCCCACATATGGGTCTAAAATGGCGGTAGTTGAGAAAACATGAATTTATGTAACAGAAACATAACTGGTAAAATCCTTTAAACTTTACCCATTGTAATAATCGTATTCAAAATACGGCTTCCTGACCCCAAACATTACACAAAATAAAATGTTATCTTGCATCATGAATACAAAATTAAGTATTTTTGTCAGCTGTCGTTCCAAAAATAGGTTGACCTAACTGTGTTACCACAGCGTTTCATTGTCGTTCAAACCCACAACTTTCCACAACTCCATGGATCGTATTCTACTTGAATCACTCATGTAATCTAAAATTTCCCTACCATTTATGGATCCCGAATGTTCATTACCGCCTGCACAAAACAACGTCACTGAATCCTGTGCTGAGTTCCATGAATGCAGCCCACACTGTCATCCTATAATCGATTTTGGTATTCTCCTCCCATCTATGTCCAGGTCTTCCAAATTCATCCTTTACTTCAAGTTTTCCGTGTAAAATTTCGTATCAGTTTCTTAGCTCTGCCACGCGTGCCACAGACGTCACTTGCCTCATCCTCTTGATCTGATAACCCAACTCATATCAGGTTAAGAGGTCCAATTATCAAAGACCTTCATTTTCTCCGTCAGCCGATGATCGACTTCCTTAATACACCGTCTTAATGACACCTGACATGACGAGAACGTTTCTGGAACAAAACCTAACACCACAAACTTACTTTTATACATGAGGCAACTTCAGTATTGTTTATAATCGTCTAACACAAGTTCCATTGATACTGCTGCATAAAATAATCATGAGAAAATGTTTCCTTTCCGTCAATAGAGCGTAATTCTATACCGCTTAATGATGTTATATGTACACAAATTAAGACACTCAGCTGGAAAAGAAATAACAGAGCACAAACATTTTACTAGTGAATCTTAATGAAGACAGAAGACGTATTTATTTCTTATCCAAACATCAACCAGTAACTGGCCTGTCTTTATTTAATCTCTTATCCAAGAAGTCACGTTTACATTCAAATTATCCGAAAGTTCCTTTAGAAATTCGACGCAGTTGATAAGATTACATTAACTACGGAGTTCAGTGATTCGTTGTTATTACACTGATATATATTTCCTTTTTTACATTTTATAAGAACGGACACTCAGTTAACCAATCGCAGATGTAAGTTCCAAATAAGCCCTTTTACTACGAAATACGGAAACTGGATATGTAAAATAATTGAAGTTAAAACTATAACAATTTATCGACCACTCCGGTGGTGCATTCAAAAAATTCTAGGTTCGTTCACGATCATTGTAACGTATAAAATAAAAAATATCGGTATAATGACGACCAGTCACCTGAATACGAGAATAGATTAAACTCCTAAATCCCACGAGGACGATGTTCTTGTACATAATATTTAAGAATTCAGTCCGTACCTCAAAGAAAACACTACACTTCACCGTTACGAAGATCAACTGGTTAACTATGTTTAAGAAAATAATCGCTGTCTATTCTAAGAATCTCACAAATCACTTACATACAAAATTCAGAGTTAATAACTCTTAAAACAACCGGTAAATAAAGTTACCACCGAGAATTAAAAGGTTAACCATTCAGCCTCGTTTACGTAAAGCAAGCTATCAGTCATGGTTCATGTAAACAGATGAAGACATTTATTTTTGGAGCGCCTTACTTGCAAATAAACTAGTGAAAGTATAATACACGTTCTTTGCTCAGATATCTTCGTAATTGAAGTATTTATCTGTTAGATTTCACAGTTCTACTCGACCCGTTTTTTTTTTCTAAACCGTTCACACGTCTCCATTCGTCTGATGGAAGAAAAGGTAGCGCCTGCAAATCACCGTTTAGATTACCTGTCTCACACGTACTGTAATAGTTCCCTCCCCATCAGCGCGCTGTAAATCAAACTCGTGGGAATTTTTAAGTCTATCGGCGAGACTGTACGTCGCTTGGAAAGACATCAATGAGTGTGTAACTTTGTTCCAACGGAATTCAGTAAATCTGACAAGCCTGAAGTAGATGTGTCTGCTCATTCTCAGAGTGAAAGCGAACATTCGAGTTCATACGTGACTAATTACATATACTCAAGACGAGAGCACAAGATCATAAAAAATACAGATGACAGACAAATGCCAACGTCAGCAGGATTTTTAAAGCTTAAAAAAAAGTCTCACGAAGACAATTTAAAAAAAAATAAATGCATTGCAAATCTTGTTGGTTTTCATGTTAATTTTTCTGGATACCATTAGAAATTCGCTAAAATATTTTACGTCAACAGATAAAATAATTTTACTTCATATTTCTAGAATCACAGCCTAAACCACTCCTGTATAAAGTCAAATGTTTGGCAAAATCAAAGTTTATAAGCTGAACATTTTTAAACAAAGTCTTAAAAAAAAATAGTCTCAATGACCCTCATGATGGGGATGGGATGTACGACTGAAACTTCGGTAGACATCTAAAATTCTACGCGACCCAAATATTCTAGATGGCTGTAATTTTTGTACTCGATACCGTGAGAATCTGAAACCTCACCACGACCAGATATTTGAGTACAGGTCTACATATGTAAATGTATAATTTGGCACTGCTACTGAAAAGATAGCAAGACGAATTTGGGCAAAATAAGATTATTGCTTCACAAAAGAACTTTTATTAAAAGGAAAACAGGTGAAAACCGATTTATATTTCCCAGTTTACTGTGTAAAGGTTTAACGATTTTCATGGCCCTTTCGAAATCTGATGATAGGGGTCATTTAACCTTCCGTAAGGCCACAGACATAAGCTGACGTAAATTCAAGTACGAAATTACGAAATAAAAACTCTCTCTTACTAAGTATGTTAATTATAAAACTGGGTTTAATAGTCAGCAACTTGCAAACTGAACCAATTACAAAAAAAGAGACCTCAGCAATAAATAGAACAGAAGGAAAGCGACTATGATACACGAATGTAATAACAATGATGTATAAATTCTAAAATATAAAATACTTCGCCTAATTTATATTACTATAAACTACTTTGGCTATTAGCAAATAATGTTTGTCCATTCTTATCTTAAGGTCCCAATTTCGGTTTAACTTTTATGCACAATCTGTTAGACTGCACTGAATTAAAAGTAAAATTCATAATAATATCGTAAAGTTTACGTAAAAAACATCTCGTAAAAATATGGGATTATAACCAATTAAGAGACTTACCATTACGTTTTTAAAAGTCAATAATTCTATTAATAAGCAGCTAAATGTGTCTTGTTTCCACGTGAAAAGAAGAAGTTATGTCTGGCAAAAACTTCTTTCATAATTTCAATTATTTCCTACACCACAAACTGAAAAATCTATAAAAAAACATTACATCTAATAGTTTCGAAATTATTCTCATATACAAATTGTTTAATCAAAGTATTCAGGTCTTCCCACCAAAAGTTTGAATGTAAATCAAAATATTACTCCTACCTTTATAGCTGAGAAGTGCAGTGATCACTACGACGTATCCTTTCCAATCCATTGTTGCTGACGTAACTGTAAGGGTTAGACCCAATATATTAAAAAAAAACTATCACAGGAAGAACACGTCTTGTTAAACTGAAAAAAATTACTATTTTGTGTTAAGCACTAATTTACGGCAAATAATCACGGGTTCTTACGTCACTGTCACATTTGTATCTTAGTAACAATCAAAACCATGAACAAAATATAACCAAAGTTGAGTTTCTGAATTATCACTCAGTAATCTTACGTCAATTCTCTCTTACGTCACACACTTTTTTTTTCAGTTTCTTAATCCATTATGGATAACGAGTCGACTTCCATCAGACTTTCAAAAGTAAGATGTCTCTGTTTTGAAAATGGTACCTCTTAAAACTCCACAGTGTTTCGATTCGAATGTCAAATTATTTTCATTGAACCATTCAATTTAAATTTGTTTTAAGTGAAAAATGTATCTCATTCCACTTATAAACATATGCTCCTACGCACAGCAGCAACACTGCATTACACGCGTGTTGTCAGGGGAAACAAAAAACTGATAGACGGCGTACTGCATTAACTGGAACGTAACTTCTCCTCGTGGCCAACACGCGTTACCACTGCATACAGCACTGTGGGGGAACTTCTAGTCGACACCCATTGATCGCATGAAAAACACCCGATCGTCTGCAACACCAATAACAGTCAAGCGCGCGATCTGACGTTCCGAATAAGAGAGCCACATGACCCGAAAGCAGCGCCGTTCGGTGTGCACCGGCAGTGTTTAGAACTATTACATCTCGTTCTCTCAGTAATAAATTACTCTAACACTCTGAAATTGCAAGTTCAAATATAAATTTTTATCAGGATTTTCAGCAAGAGCGTTTAATAACAATTCTTTTCAAATTGTGCCCACATGCCTCTTTGAATTTTCGAAACATTTTTCCCCACTGATTCAACGTTTATTGATAACTATGGTATATTCATATTCGAAATTCTTCTTGCATTCTTTCCACAGGATATTTTCACTTAAAATTGATTTTTTTTCGTAAATAAATAACAGTACGGACCGTACATTTTTTTATCCTGTTTCAGCTTATAGCATTGGTAGTCTACATTAAAAAACAAAGCAAATGTTCGAAGTTCCTTTAATTCAAGACAATTGAAATACAGGCTGACCCAATAAATCTTACTTTCCGGTGTGACAACACGTTCTTGGCTGTTGATAAAATTACACGTGGATCAAATTTAACGTAGAAGATACTGGACAACATTAAGTTCAATCTATCAACTCAAAAGTAGCTTTAGATGTTCGTTTATTACAGTATTTTTTTCTCCATATTTCGAATGCAGGCTAAATACTGGCAACTAATATCAAGATTTAATAAGCATGTGTTCTGTCTCTGTAGGGTATAACAGAAGCCTTAGACAGACGTCCTTAAATGAGACAGAGACTACGCGATAAGTAATAGGGGTGATTTGTTGTGATTAAAATCCTAGCACTCGACGAGATTCGGACTCACGATCCAATCAATTGATCAGTCTAAGTTTGATATTTAATCACACCTCGTTTAATACGTTCTTGTTCTAAACACACAACAAAAATTCTTACGAATCTCATCTTTGCAACGTTGATAAAATCGAGCAGTTTGAATGCGTAAATATTTTTCTGTTCGACAAAAATACTTATTTATACAAACAACATTTCTTGACTTCTTGTACTCAGCTTGTGTCGAAGAATATTAATATCCAATGAGTGAATTTCGAAAGGACCAATGAAACTCTTTTCGCCTATCTAAAGAACTTATTCTATCAACTGTCTGAGAGGACTGAAGACAATCACGAGCCAGGATAACACGCTCAGAACCTGACACAAATCACCTTTCTTCCGAAGGCATCCCAGCTTCTCTGGTGTTACCAGTGAGGACCAAGTTTAAAACCCATAACATTAGTCACGAAGATGTAAGTCACAGGGTGTGGCTACTAGAATCATGGCAAAGTGACTATTATACAAGCAGCGGGTAAGAACTGCATTTGATTAATTAAAAATGGAAAAAGATGGCGTACGTATATGCTACTTAATTAACATTTATTATGGCAATCTGATCAAATAGGGCGAGGCGTGTAACACGCTTGGGAGATATGAGAAATGAATGCAACGTTTTTAGTCGGAAACCCTCGAGGGAAAAATAGTTGGGAGTTCTGGGTGCAGAATGAAAGGTAATATAAACGTTGAGTTTAAATGAACAGGGTATCAAGATATAGACTGATTTCATCTGGCAGGTTTACGTGAACAGGGAAATTACCTTTCAGTTCCCATAAATTAAGTGAATTTCTTGACTAACTGAGCCAATATCAGGTTAACAATTATGGCTTTGCTTCATGGCATAGGATTTGATGCACAGTAACATTTAAAACACAATACGACTACACCAACTTCATATAGCAGAGTCATTCTTAAAAAGCTGACAGTAGCTCAGCGAGTCAATGAATAACAACCTCGAAGGTTCATTAACGTGTTCATAAAATCCAGCCACTGGTTCATATCCTGAGAAAGTTGAATTCAATTCACACACTTCCTCCGATTGTACTTAAGATTCAGTTTAATATTATCCTGTAATCTACACCGAGGTGTTCAAAGTGGTCTTCTCCCTTCAGGTTTTCAGACAAAGGTTCTTTTCGTATTGTCCCTTGCATGTTACAGTGACCAGATGCTATAAACGTTAGACAATATATTTTGTTTTTTTGCTGGAAAATATTCCTCGTGACATAAGGTTGCTGTCTGGTTACTTAAATGCCTTACGCCTCTTAAATTCAGATCAACAGTGAAGCACATCCAATGAACAAACACAGTCAAATCTTTTTAAAACTACCTTTAATTATGCAGTTCACACGGAGACCAGGTTTTAACTGACAAATATAAGTTCATTAGGTTTCATGTTTACCGCAAGGTTCCAATTTGTAATGCCACGTTCCTAATTGTTTTACTTTCTTCCTGTTTCAAATTAAATATTTTCATAAGCCAAAAGCAAATATCAACACAAACAATGTTTTCATTACGTTGAAACCTGTTTCACACAGACATGTACGTATATCCACCCTGAAGCGGTTTGTAATAATTCATATCATAGCGCGGAGTGTGAGTTTGTAAAAACAGTATTACAGTAACCAATGTTTTTACATGCTATTAAATAAATAAGGTGTCTTTTTGGTTTTGAAGGGTTCGCTTGTTTAAAGGTAGGCCTACCATTGTGGGAGGACAAAGGATTTGGCGGGGAGGAGGGGAATACAGCAGCTGTTCCAGAAGTCATCACACCTATATTAGTAGTGGAGAGAAAGCAAGCTGAACATTTAGTAAATAGGTTGTTCTTTTATTTAAAAAGTAAGCTTGTTTGTTTCTTTGAGTAAGCCTGTGTTTCTCAAGAAAAGTGATTCATCCTGCCGAACTCGGTAAGTACGAAAGAAAAGTCATTTTTTCTGCATAATGCGTCATAAAACAACGTTTCTCTTCTTGAGGCAGGGCTATCGATTTTATGAATATGTTTGCCAACTCAGACAATAGGCTAGCAGGTTGGCGGTAGCAGTTCTGATGACGTCTAAAATATTATTTAAGATTCCTGTCCGTACCGCAAAGAAAACACAACACTTCACCGTCGTAAAGATTAATTAGTAAATGCTGTTTGAGGAAATTATCCCTGTTTATGGTAAGAATCATACGAAACACATAAATAAAACCTTTTGGGAAAATGGGCAATTGGTACATATAGTTACCACGTACCCTTAAATTATACAGTAATATATGATGCAGTCACCAAACTTCGAACACGAGACTTCGTGATTACGATTGACACGACATACACTGCCTAATCTTAAGCATACAGTTTATACTTCTATTTATTTACAGTTTATTCAACGACGCTTTTCCACTAAATCCTACATACCTGATTCACCATACTCATGTTAAAATGAGGTCACTTATATGTCAAGGTCATGCCTAGACCAAAACAAAATCACGCAAACTGTTTGAGAGTTAGAGGCCTCAAATCTTTCAAGGTCATTCGAATTACTGTTATGTCACGCATATACATAGAGAACTGTAGGAATGTGAGGAACATTGCATACTTCATTTAGAGGTCATACATATGTCAAGGTCATATGAAGGTCACGATATATACTCAGTGTCTAATTTTGGTTGCGATAGATTACGTTAGGTTTTGTTAGGTAATCTATTATCACTGGTTATCACACTGACACCATTAAACTTTCATCAAAATGATTAGCTTATAAAAAAATTATAACTCGTGGCGTTGTTCATTCGTCAAATTTCGGGTGAATACTTCGGAAATATCCGAACGCGTCTTAACCTCGCCGCAGGGCCATTCCGCCAACTGTCAATCTCACGTTTTTAATTGCTCTACTAAAACACGAGAATTTCGATTCCCTCAGAGGTTTGGAAACTTTTATTTATATCTACGTCAAAATAACTTAGATAAATACTCGTACACCGACAAAAATATTTTCCACGGATGATGTACTCCAAACAAAGATGATACAAAATCACATTTTGTAGACCAGTTATCGAGATGCTACGAAATTTTAAATAAATTTAATTACAAATAATATTATATAATTAGTTGAAAATATTCGCCTTACATCTATCCCCGTTGACATTAGTTATCAGTGTAGAAGCTTCTAGTTAGTTTAATCAACTTGACTATTGCAGAATACCTTTGATGGCGATTAATCCCCTGAGAGTCCTCTATCTGCGTAAGAAAAACCTACACTTTCTGGTACAAATAAATGATGGTAGAAAACTAATTGAATATTACTTTATTCTTAAATTTATAGCACAGGTAATACTTTATTCTCAATTTTAATTTCAATAAAAATATAGTTGAAATAATGTATTTTTATAATTTAATATGTAATATATCAGTAATATATTCTAAAGCTGTGACGAATTTCGGAAGGAATCCGCGTACTAATACAACAGACACTGCATTAACTTGAGGAGTGTGAGCTCGGACTCAGAGACAAAACTGTTTATGAAATTTTGCAATTCCTGTGCTATTTCCGGTCCATACGAAGCCTGAAGTTCCTCTATCACCTGTGGGCCTATTTCACTCGCCATTTCGCCTGCCAAATAGCTCGTACGACTTCCTCCCATGAGGCCTGTGACTGCGAACTGAGAAAAGAACCAAATGTTACATCACACAGGTAACAATTTCTGTGGACCGTGGGCTAAATTTTGAGTTTAAAGCGAAAATTTACGTAAAGAAATTAAGTTCAATTCATTACACGGTTATGCTTTCCGTAAGACTTCATACTTTTAAGTTTCTGTAGGTCTTGTGGCATTTGTTTATTTTGACGTAAATTTTTAATTACAAGACACAAAAGTATAAACGAAAAAAATAATTATCTTAACATATTTTTATCTAAAATCTTCCGTGAGTAGGGCCTACGTTAATAATTAATTACCTGTAGTATTGGTAACGTTAATAATTTGTATACAAGTTATAGTAATAAATTATCACTATTTCAGAACAAAATAATTCTTTATGCGATAACTCTACCATACAATAATTTTTTTCGTAGGAGTTTAATGAGATTAAAATCTTATGAAGTCGAGTTAAAATAAACAAAACTGACCAAAATTCGCGCTTATTTTCATAATACTACAAATCAATACAAATAAATCCCCCCCCCCCCCCCGAGTCCAAAGATTTTGTAAGTGTAATGGACGCTTTGTTAGAATTTCACAAAGAAATTCTGAGATCAAATATTGACTAGTTTTAAACAAACACAGAATGTCGCCCAGTCATTAAATTTGTTACTATCGACTTTAGAACCTGTCAACATACTTTTATCTTACAATAGCTTATCGATTATCTTTATCATACCAAGAGATCACCAAGGTCATCGATCATTATTTTTCATACAACAGCACGAAATTAATAAATAAATAAATAAAATTCATCCTTTTGGCCTTCTCGCCCTGCCAAATAGTTTATATTTACATTCACGTAGAGAGCTTACAAAAGACTTGAATAAATGTAAGACACCTTTAAAATGCCTACCTTAAGAACGAAATTGATTTATCACCTTCTATAATCGCTGATTTACGCATTCAAAAACTCAATCAAATATATAAAATTAGTTTATCGCGAATTATCTGATAAGAGCACAATGGACACATTCAGGAATCGTAGGTCAGATTTAATGGGTCACTTGTTCCATAACTTGAAGTTGATAGTCGCTTAGGTCCTTAAAAACATCTCAGGAAATTATATTTCAGAGCTCAAACGTGCTGCCTAATGGTACATAACCTGGTCCACATGAATCCAGGCCACACATATAATTTAAGTTTCATTTTAATATTATCCTCGCATCTACAACTGTCTGCTTTTTGACTAAAATTTTGTAAGCAAAACCGATTGATAAAACATTGCACGATTAAAGCTGTTGTCAGATCTGATTAGTATTACAGCTGGTAACAAACAGAATTCTGTGCTATTTATTTAGTTTAAGGAAATAATTATTTAGATATCTCACCTTGACTATGCCAACTGCCAGCTGCAGCTGCAGTTCGTCCAAAAAAATAGAATCTGATTCCGACGCACCGATGGAGAACGACGCAGCCAAAACCACGTCCTGTACTGTCAGCCTGAAACAACGAGACCGACAGAATTACCTTCAAAGACACTTCTCAAAACAACATTTATTGCACAAAATATCAGAAGCAGGTCTTCATTACGTCACAACAACATAAAACATTTTATACAATAATTTAATTTTAAAATTAATTCTATGTAACATTTTCCTTCGTTAGCGGTTAGAACGCTGGCCTTGTAATCCTGGGGTCTCGGGTTCGATTCCCGGCGGTGCCCGAATTTATAACTTGTGTTGGGCAAGGCCGTGGTCTAGGCAACACGGAGTTTTCCTCCGGGGGCTTCCCCGGTTTCTCCGTGGCATCCCAACAATTACGCCATTCACACACAGAAGAAGGCAATGGCAAACCCCTTCTGGATCATCTGCCAAGAACGTATATGAACAGGTCCCAGTCCGAGAAAAGGATGGAAGGATCCTGTTCATATGGACCTGTCGTCAGACAGAACACTGAATAAATATAAATAAATAGAAGCTATTAGTTGCTAAACTGGTCAGCAAGTTAACCTTCCATTACGTTCATTACAGTGTTCATAAAAGCCTTCAAGTGGGTCGTGTCTTAATTCACATTAATCCAATCAATACAATCACGGCTTACTTCTTTAAGATTCGTTTTAATATTATGATCATTTATACGTCTCTTTTCCCCAAAAGGGGTCTCATCCTTTGAACTTTTCCGAACGAAGTTCTCACTGAACTTCCTAAAATCATCATACGTGATATATTTTCCGCTCGTGCCACAGTCTTTCATATCGTAATTATTCTCAACTGTTTAATTTCTAGCGTAACCATGGATACTTCACACTGCCATAATTTAATCTTCTGCTCTCCACTTCCTTTCATCTTATTGGTTAAAATTAGTCTACTTTGTTTAACGTGGTACATCAAAACAAACGTACAATTTCAGAAGAAACAATCTTCAAGAGAAATGACAATGTTACATCATAACATTTCCTTCCTTAGCTCTTGATTATAAATAATTAAATAACTCAGTTAATTATCCTTCCATAAGCCTACGTAGCGTTACAGCTTATTCACAGATACACAGTGATAATGTTAGGCTTGTACCAGTTTAATTAAATTCTGACTTGACAATGATTCTAGGCTACGTATTGAAAATACGATATCTCGTCTTCGGAAAGTTAACACTTACGTGACTTCTCCATCGCCTAATAAAGGAATAATATTCATTACAACTGCGCTGAAGCTGTAATGGTCAATTCTCAGGTTCAATTCGGGAAAAGTGAAGTTAAACACTACTTTAAGGTCAGCAAGGCTGAATGTAAATGAATTAACCAGAAATTCTGATAATTTCGTAGAGTGTATGCCATCCACGTTTATATAGTCCAACCTGGAAACAAAGACCAGTCACAGAATTTTGAGAATAAGGAACCCAATTAAACTTTAACTTTATTCTTAACGGAATATTATTCTAAATTACTGTCTTCTGGATGTCTGATCCGCGTGGTCTGGTAGACGTTCGCAGGTGTTTCGGAACTTCTTCCTGTTAGCATCTTCAGGGCGATCTTGAACAATTATTTAAAAATCTCCGAATGTAAAGTTAGTTTGAAAGCGTGACCTTAGACATCAAGAATTCAGAACAAATGAAATTATATTCAACTGAATTAAAATGCCACACCTTTATTGATAATGTTTTGGGGTAATTTTTTTCAAACACAATTTTATTATAAAATTATACTAATTAACTTACAATACGTAGTCTGGTACTTCGATATTTTCGAAATGGATATTTTCCTCATATTCAAATGGATCCAGCGGTGGATTTCCAAGGCAATCAGATCCGTTCTTTATGGCAGAAATTACCATCTCCAAGATACGATCTTCGAGAATTCTGGATTCTGGAATATACGTATTACTTTTATTCCAGGTATTTACCCGAGAATAAGTTCTGTAATTTTGAGGATAAATTTAATACGCGGTGTAGTATTTTGCGAGTTAAAATTAAGTAACGTACATTTATTCTATCAATACATAAATCCAACGCCAATCAAATTACCGTTTATCTTTAACTCACTCTAATGCAATTTAACTTACTGTTTTATAAAATGTAAATATTTCATATTTATATAATTTAATTAATTTGACTAGTGAATAAACATAAGACTTGGTTCCATCGGCCGATTGTCAAACTGTTCGACTTACCTGAAAGAAAATGTTCTTCCATTGGTTTGCCGTTCGCTTTCAAAATTTCATCTTTAATGCCAGTTTCAAAACTGACACTCTGGCCGAGAAATGCAGCCAAAAGTGTGACAATCGCGATCTTATCCAGACTCTTCATAGCAGCTCTAATGAAGTGAAAAATAACTTTCAGAAGCGTGTCACTACATACGCGTATATAACACTTCTACTTAAAAATAAGATAAAGTCTATATTTATATAATCTAATATCGAAACTCACTGTAATTTGAACTCGATATGGCTTATCGCTAAAAAAAAATCTATCTTACCTGCGTATGTATCAGTAAACCTGCAGCGGAGCGAGTGGGAATATTCAATGTTTGTTAGAATAGGAATGAATTTCGGAACAGAATGCGTCCCACCAGACGAGAGATCTGCATACAGTGGCTTACAAATCGAATGACGATGCTGACCGTAATCGAATAAAACTCGATTACCAACTGATGACACAGTACTGAATACTGAATGTTTCAATAAATGTGATAGATAAAATATCTATTCATTATGCTACATAATGGTTCTTCTCAAAAGTTTTGTTTACAGTTTCGTATGAATACCTTATCTTCTATTCTTAAGTGTCATCAGATACTCACATAAATTCAAAGGTTACACCTTATCTTCTATTCTTAAGTGTAATCAGATACTCACATAAATTCAAAGGTTACAAACGCCTTCTCTTAGCCGTATTAATGACAGAGAGAGAGAGACTCGTAGCATCATTAATTCCTTAAAATCCAGTGGTAACTATAAATACCACCTGATTAAAAATCAGCAACTCTGTGTTTTATGTTTGTAATATTTAATATTTCTCCAAGTAAACAGCGATTATTTCCTTGAACAACATGAATCAGCAACTCTTGAAATGAAGAACTGAATCCTTAAATAATATTTTTAACGAGTTTCATCTTCAAATGGTTTATGAAACGATAGTGACCAGGCAAAAATTATATCCAGATCTGAGTTATGGCATTATGAAATAACAAATTATTTCGTTGAGGATTATAACAAAGTATGAGATTTCAGATTTCTACGGCGGTGAACATACCGATGTTGGTATTCTGGGTTGTAAGGCTTTGCAAACTTCTACGTAGATACCGACGTTTCAGAGAAAATACTGCCTTCATCTTCAGGGCTTGAAGGTAAGTGCGTTTCCCCGAAATACTGTTATCTACCTGGAAGTACTCAAGGCATTTTTACTCAGAAGTCCAACATCAACGTTTATTGCAATTTCATGTTGCACTGTCAGATGTACTATATCGGACGTTTCCAGTATAGTAGCTAGAAATCCTCACTGTATTAATAAGGTAATCATGTACATTAAACGTGTGCATCCAGGGTTTTGACTCGAAAACCAGAAGAAAAGAGGCCATTTGGAAGAACCAGAGGTAAGTTGGGAGATAATATTAAAATGTATTTTAAATAAGTAGAGTGTAATGCTCGGGAATGAATTAATCTGGGTTATAATAGCGTCCATTAGTGTTCTTTTGTGTAAAATGAAATTAATTTTCACGTTCCATAAGAGATGAAAATTTTATTTACTAATTAAGAGACTAGCAGCTTTGCTGCGTGGTGTTCATTATAATCAATCGCCAATTCGTACATATTTTCTTATATACAGATACTTGAAAATAAATCACATGTTCCACACCTGATATGTGCTTAAGATGACCTTAAGACTATATAATCGACGAAGAAACGTTGTCAGATTTGATAACAAGTCTAAATATGCACGGCAAATCCAACATCAAAGTTGAACCGGAGAGAGTACAGAAGTACTATATTCTAGTAATATCCTCTATTTTGCATGTAGAAAGTATCCAGTTGGAATACTTGATGAGATGGGTAATTCCTACTGAAACTTTATAAAATATAAAATATGTATGAGATTTAATGTTTCAACGACACTTAAGATTTCAATGTTGGTCTTCTGGGTTGTGTAAACTAAGCATACGCCGATGTTTCGAAAGTACATTTTGCCTCCATCATCAGAATTAAAGATGAAGTATTTTCTCCAAAATATTTTAATCTACATATCAGCCCACACGTTGTTAAAACCCAGACAACCAACATCGACATTACAGAAAATAACAAAAGTCCAAGTTTTGTAATCTGACAGATATCGGCCGACGTTTCATAGATTTTTTCTGCTTATATTATCGGCTTCTCTGAAACGTCGGTCGGTATGTCGGATTACATGACGCAACATCCCAAATAACAGTCATATATACATTTTTGGTGTGACTACGAAAATCATTTCATTATAATATATTTATCCAAAGCGACGTTTCAATTCATCCCCTCGACTACGATCTCAAACTTAAACCACGCCAAGTATCTTCAGGTGAGAAAACAAGTTTATACGTTCCCATGGTGACCCGGCCATATAACCTTTTCCTTCGAAGCATTATCTAAAGCCTTCCTAGGCTTTCGTTGTAAAACAGAAAATTCGGTTTCCCTGTCGCATAAACTACACCCTCAAGGGGCTCACAAGTGAGGCGGCTTGCATCTAATGGCTTTTAAGTCAAAGATTCTCCAAAGACCTTTACGAAGGAAGAGATACCAAGCAATAGATGCTGGCCTTGTAATCCTGGGGGTCTCGGGTTCGATTTCCGGCGGTGCCCGAATTTATAACTTGTGTTGGGCAAGGCCGTGGTCTAGGCAACACGGAGTTTTCCTCCGTGGCATCCCAACAATTACTTCATTCACACACAGAAGAAGGCAATGGCAAACCACTTCTGGATCATCTGCCAAGAACGTATATGAACAGGTCCCAGTCCGAGAAAAGGATGGAAGGATCCT